TTTATATTCTCTGCATTGATTACTTTCATATAGTAAGTACAGATTGGTATTGGTAGGTTTTCTGTATACCGTGGTATTGTATTTATTATTTATATTATCTCGGCTTATTAGTACGTCTAAGAAGGCCGACTTTTCGTTACATTCATTCAAAAGTGACGGATTGATAAAAGAATAATCGTTTGACAGTGATTAATTGTGTTTGAAGAAGTAAGAAAAGAAAATAAAGTTCCTGTATAAAAATTATTATAAAATAAAATATTGTGTAACAGCGGAATACAGAAATAGCGGAACAGCGACTGACCGATAGGAATATATTTTGAAACGCTCCCTTATCATTTCAATGAAAAGCAAAAAAGTAGTGCTCTATTTAAAGAAACTTTAAATAAAAAGTGTAGTCAAATACGTACAAAATATGCAAAGCCTAATGTATTTGACGTATATTTTTTGTATAGTAGTAAATGTAAATAAAAACGTTCTCTTCTTCGTTTGTTGCATTCTCTTGCTTATATGCTACAATACTCGTTATTTTAAAAATAACGAATAAATTGAAAGTATATAAATATATATGCCAATGTATGTATGTATCCACAATACAATCGAAGGAACCGAAATTAAACAAAATAAAATAAATTAGAATTTAAATGCAGCAGAATGGCTGAGACAGAACGGCAGAACGACCTGCGAACGGCAGAGCGGCCGGTATACATTTTGAAACGGTCCCTAAGCGTACCACATTGTATAGCAAAAAATGTTGATTGAAAATGTTATTAATACGCACATATATGTAAACAGTTCCCTACACCTACTACAGTGTACACCTTTTTATGAAACTTTGTAAAGAGGAGTTGAAGTTATATACTCGAAATCCAGTGGTTTTCGGTGTTTTTTCAACCCCCCTCCCTAGCAGGCCTAGTATTCATCATAAAAGGCATTAATATTCATCTCATAATAGTTAATAAAAATATCAATATTCACTTTTTTTATAAATTATAACTAAACGAAAATGTTATTAGCAATCGAATAATCAAGATTACAAAATAAATCGGAGTTGAATTATTTAGCCGAAAAATAAAGATTAATTTATTTTTTATGCGCTATACTCACTTAAACTATGAAATGAAGGGTATAGGAGTTTCACAATTTAGCTCTGAGAGGGTTTGCCCTGACAAGGAATGTTATTTTCTCCATCACTGTTGCATACGATTTTAACAATTTTTTCCTGTGATTATTTGTGGCAACGTTAACGACGGAGAAAAGCAATTCTTATAGCTATGGTGAGAGTAGAAAAAGTTTTGGTGTTTGTACATTAAATCTAAATATAAAAAGTTTATCGGTAAGAAAATTTTGAACATGTTATGAAAAAAATCTGCATCTTTTTGTTCTGTCATCATTTTTATCAAAAATCTCGTTTCTCTTTACAAGATCATTGTTTTGTGTGTTGATTATAAACTTCTTTAATATGAAACATTCTTACAAGGTTAATTAAGACCCTACTCACTAGAATCTTCATAGTGTACAAGTGATGTCGATATAATCTATATCACTCTAGTGTTTCTCTTTCAAAACCTCTAAAATTCATCTGTTTAATGAACGTCTTCATTTTGTCTATTTTTAGATTTAAAATGAGTCGTTTACTTGTTTTCAAGCCAAATGTTCAACATTCTTATTGTCAACGATCAAATTTAGAGCTTGTTTATCAAGTAAGAAATAGCTGTTCAAGTATATTAATTATTATTTGATTTGATGATGAATTTTAGAAACTATTGAATGAAAACTTGGATGTTAGCTGGATTAGTGACGAAGAAATCTTTCAAATTGTATCACCAACAGATAATTTTTATATTATTGAACCATTCTCTGGACCGACATTTCAACATTTAAAAAATATTAACGTGCAGTATGTATGATTCCGTAGAAGTGTTCTATTGATGATCATTCTATTTCTTATTTTTCAGTGTTTTTGGTCCACCTTGTATCTTGGGTTCTCTATCGTCTGACACAAGTATACCAGTTGTAAATTATCCAATTTATGCTGTTTCAATGAGAAATATGTTCATAACAACTAGTGGTGTTAAGAAACAAATTCGAGTAGATATATCTTATTGCTATAGAATAAGTTCGAAAAATATTTTATTATTACTATTTTAGGAGGATATATTTCAGAAAATTCAATTAATGGGTGGTAAAACAGATAATCAATTTGTTGAAATTACTACACATCTTGTGTGTGACATTAGTGGAACAGAAAAATATTTGGTAAGTATCACATTTTTGATTGATATATCTTCAATTATATTTCAATTATAGACTGCTGTTGAACGTAATATTCCCATCTATACATCTGATTGGATTATTGAAGTTTGGAATATGTGTCAGAAAAAGTAAATAATAATGTCATCTCTGTATCATACTAAAATATAGTTTCTATTCAAATTTTTTCAGCATATGTTGGGCTCAAGATGAACAATTTAATAAATATAAATGTCCATTATTCAAAAGTCTCTTTTTTACAACAACTGGAATATCGAGCCAAGATCGTTTAAATATTCAATCAAAAATAGAACAGAATGGTAACGCCGTGTAACTTAATATATCACAGTATTTATTACATAATATTGTCAATTTTAGGTGGAAAGTTTACACCACATTTAACGAGCGAATGTACACATTTATTATGTGAAAAACCAGAAGGTAATTCACTATTTCATTGCTCTAAAAATAAAAGAGTAAAAGACAATAGTAAATGCAAAAAGTATACAACTTAGTATTTGATGATTCAAACAAAAGTTGATCTACGCTCTGACACACCTAAGCTCGGAATTGTTTTTACATAAAAGCGATTTGTGCGTAAAAACGGTTATAGAGTCTTTAACTTGCAGACTCTTTATACAAATGGGTGAACCGGGTGGTGTTATATATGTGACTGTCGATACGAGTACATGCTTGTACAATTTGGTAAGCAAAATAGGAGTTTGCTGCTAACAGGAATTCATATATATTACAGTAATTATAATATATATAAAATCAGCTAGCCTGAACTAAAATTAGCCAACTAGCTTGCATAGTTGGAATAGTCATCATGACTTTCTAATTACTCTCACGACGAGATTATTATCTTTTTTAGGTGAAAAATATACATTTGCTAAACAACGTCATCTTCGGATTGTAAAATGTCAGTGGTTGTTTGATTGCGTCAATAAAAAACGATTTATGAATGAAAAAGATTACATTGTTTCTGATAATGAACGCTTAAAAACACTAACATCCAATTCAAGTCCTGCTGGTAAGTATTTTTCTGATAACTTATTTTTTCTCAAAAGTTTTTGACGATATTTTTTAGAACAAAATCGTCTTACGAAACAACTGAATACGAATGATATTGGTTTAAGCTCAATAAGTCCTTATGATAATTTATCTGATACATTATCAATAAACAATAATCTTTATTCAACAGCAACAACATTGACAACAATGACCGTTCAAACTCAACAATCTCATTTGGCTACACAACCGTCCTCTGCTCTAAATTCAGATATCACTATTACAACAAACAGCATTTTACCTTCGAACAACACAAGTCTAACCGATACAACTGAGAAAGGTAAGCATAAAATCAATACAAAACGTTAATTCTCTAAAAAAAGGAGTTATTTTCTCTTTTAGCTACAATAACAGTGGTAAAACAAGTACAATCGACGGCAGCAAACACAACAATATCAAAACCATTCTTCAGTTTATCGTTTATATTGTTAAATTTCAGTCAAAAATATGATATTGATCGGTTACATAAAATTATTGCTGATAATGGTGGTTGCGTATGTGAAGATAAACATGAATCATTCAATTATTGTGTATGTCCACTGACACTAACATCGTTTGATAGACAATTAGTTGAAGATATTATTTACGGAAAAATGGTCACAACCTATTGGATATTTTCATGTATTGAATCTAAACAATTACTATCATTGAAGATACATTTTCTTTACCGACCATTTTGTTTAAATGATAAAATTCAACGAAAAGAATTTCAATTAAAAGATTGCGTTATTTCAATTAGTGGTTTTAACGGTATGGAAAAGAATAGCTTAGCGTATCTTTGTCAAGAGGTGTTGGGCGCTCATATGCAAGACGCATTTGTGCGAAAAGATGTTAAAACATACAAGGGCAATACTCATTTAATATCAAAAGAACCAAAAGGTCAAAAATATCAGGCAGCAGTAAATTGGAATATACCAACTGTTGTCTCTGAATGGTTATTTGATATATGTTTAAATGGACAAAAAGCAAATGAACAAAATTACCAAATTAAACAATGGACAGAAGAGAAAAAAGTCGAATTTATTAACAAGTATAATCAACAACAGGCAGACATGCTTAATGAACACCAACAACAGCAACAACAAATTTTTGACATTGTTCCACTACAAACAAATAGTAAGATAACTGTCATACCGTGTGATGAACGACAATTAGAGCAGTTTGAAGAAGAAAATAATAATCCGATTGACATGTCCGTAACAACAGTATCAACAACGTCTCACGTTTTCGCCAAAACTTCATCATACGACAAACTGTGGCAAAAATATTTGCAGGTATAGAAACATACAACTTTTTTGATTTGAAATCACTATTTACATTCTCTTTTTCCGCATAGACGTATCGCGATAATCTAGAAACGTCAGAAGACCAAAAAAGAGAGTCATCACCAAAACCATTAACTCCGTAAGCTAATCGCTTTTTTTAGAGAAAAAATCACTTGTCTTATTCTCTGTCTTTTTTTAAATAGACTTAATGCCGTCGGTCAACGAGTAATTCATCAAGCGATTGGAAAATTGAAAGATATGGATATAGAAAATAATAATAGTAACGACGATGAAAATACATCATGCGATTCACAATTACAATTTTATAGCGTCGACAATGGACAAAATACGGATCAATATCAAATGGTAATTTGAGTAAACAAATCTAGTGTAGAATCTGTTTATTAATTTCATTTTCTTAGAAAAATAGTAATAAACCATTGCAAAATATTATTATTTATGTTAGTAAAAAATTAGCAAAAAATAAATTCAGTTTACATGCACAATGTACCGTACTTGGCGGGAAATTCGTATGGATACCTCATGAAAAATTTACACATTTTATATTTCAGGTAGATAAATAGATTTTTCATTTAAATGCCAAAATAAAAATTATTTTAATTTATGTTGTAGGGAAAATTATCCGAAATACAAAAAGAATATAAAAAAGTTGAAGAATATAAAGCATTTTGTGTTTCACCATATTGGCTACAAGCCGTAAGTTTAGATTCATGTATATGATTGATCCACACATATTTTCTGATAGTGTCAAGATTTCTGTCTGTTGTAATTGCGACATTTTCATTTTTGTATATCAGCAAAACTTTTGCTTTCGTCTAAAATAAAAAATGCTTTTCGTCACCTTCCAGGTGTTTAGTAAGGAGAACATCTGTAAGTGTTATTCTTAGACGAAAGCAGAACTTTTACTAAAGGTCGAATGACACATCACTAAATGCAGTTTTTTACGCTGAGCATGAATATGACGTTATATTTTGATGTAAAAGCTTTTTTATTGGTGAAAACCGCGTTCTAATGTTCAAAATCCGATCTTCCCTCTGAACGTAATACCAAATTTATCTTTTCATACCCTATACAGTACTATACTATTTTACTACATGACAACGCAAAGCTATCCAAAAAATGTTTACCCTCCCGTGCAAAAAAGATATTTCAAAGATCCAAAAATGATGACTCAACATTGACCATGTGACACATGTCGCTATGGTCATCGGTAGCCTGGGCATCAGCTTAAATAATGATGCAAACCCGACGTCCCTATCACTTTACAAAGCTGAGATGTTTTAATTTTACTGAAATCGATGCCTCTTGCTCAAACCGATATTTTTGCCTCGGGACCAGACATGGGCGAGTCCGGGGGGGGGAGGGTACAGAGTCCGATTCCTTAAAAGTTCAAACCGAGTCCAGTAATCTTTTAGATTCTTTTTTGATGAGGGTGGTTTATATTTTAATTTGCTGAGCGCTGGATAGACATTTGATTTTTTGAAAATAGGGTTACGTTCTTTGTGCGTCTCCCGAACAAAATTTTCAATTTCATGTGAAACAGTAGGTGTTGTTATTTCGCTTTTTATTTTTCTCTGCTCATTTGTGTTAAAAAAGTTGAATAGGTCGGACTCGAAATACAAAAACTCAAGTCCGAGTCCGAATCCTTCAAAAAACTCTCCAGTCCGAGTCCGAGTCCACCAAAAAGTATTCCAGTCCGACCTCGGGACTATCTTTGAAAAGTTCATAGCTCAGTAATTATACATTATTTTTCAATCGTCAACTATCATGTCACTAAGAAATGTTTGCTCTTTCATATGAGATCGAAAATAGTTGACATTTTTTTCCATCTTGAACATCTTTCTATGGCAGTAGGTCGTGGCTTACGTGCAATGGCTGATATGTAATTGGTTACTTTCGTTGTGTTTTTAGTGTGAAGACACTGGACAACATGTACCTGAAAATTTGTATTTATGTAATTATAATCCAAATCGGTCATTGGTAAGATTTGCGTGTTTTTATTGTAGATATTTCACTTCATAAGGGTTTTATTTCAACAGAAAAACACACTAATTCATAGTATAATACAGTTTTGATTCAATCGAGCTATTTGATTACTTTGTCTGAAATTATATTTAATTATCGTGTATTTTAATTTCTAATCAAACACGTCGTGTGATGATTAACTTTAATAATTTTCTAGACATTTTGTCAAAATGAAGCACAAGCGTGTGATATTGATCTACCATCTACGCCAACAACATTAATAAATACAAAAACAACAACATCATTGCAAATATCTAGCACGCAACGTCTTCCTAATATATCTAATCGTACGTCCACCATCTATTCAAAACGTTCAGTCAATCTTATAACACCAAGACCGATACAAAAAACTCGATCACATGATGTTTCTACGAAACATTCTTCACAATTATTATCAACGCCTCATTTACTATTAGAAGAAAAACCATCATTCATGGATATATTGAAACTGAAAGATGAAAAAAGAAGCGGAGAAGTGTCGAGTTTAAATAATCAACAGCAAGATGATGATGATGCCGCATTTTCTGAACAACTTTTAAATGATTTACAATCATCTGTAGCAAAATTAATGAGTACAGCACCAACAGCGAATAATAGTGTTCGTGTAAAAATCAATACAACAGTCATAGATGACGCCTTACAAACAAAAACAAAAGTACCCCATCATCATCATTTATTATCACGCGGGCGTACGAGAAATTCTAGTTATAATTCAAATAGTCACGATATGAGTAGTGAAAATAAACATCCATGTGATTCCATACGAATTGAATGGCTTGATGAAACAGCTCGTGCTGAGCGAAAAAAGATCAATGATGAAATTGAAAATGAACAACGTGTAAAATATGATAGTAATAGTAAAACAAAACAAGTTTCTATAAATAAACGAGGATATGAAGCAACAACAACGACGACTAATACAGCACATCAGTTAACTCCTCTAACACCGACAGCATCATCGGTAGCAAAGAAAACTCGATCATAACTTTTATTTCTCATTTTAACTCTATTTTCTTTTTATTTTTGATTGTTACAATAATTCAGATAACGTGTATAGACGCGCCTATTTTTCTTTTCTTTTTTTTTACTGTAGAAAAATATGAAGTATTGATATATATTTTTTCATTCCTGTTATTCACGATTAATTATAGTGAAGAATTTATTTTTAAATAAAAGAGAATTAATTTTCTCTCTATAACTAAATAGATAACCTACTCGCACAGTTAGTCGCACAATAAAACATATTTTTCGAGATTAAAATAGATAAAATCGTCAAGGTGAAAATTATGAATATCCAATACTGCTCATACTTGTACGCGAATTTCTCTTTTCGTTTAATGAATACTGATTACCACCAACAGCTAAAAAGAGGAAAGAATTCATTCGTCAAGATTTTTAAGACAAATTGAGAAAAACAGGCATGAGTATTATTGGCCACTCAAAAAATGTTCCAAATCAAATATATGTTTATTGTGACGGAAATATGGATACTCTCTCATTTATCGAGTTAATCTACATAAATCTTCATTTGCTTTCTTGGAAGAACCTTACATGATAATTAACAGTCACAAATCAATTACTAGCTATTTATGATGTCTTGTGAAGTCGTTTTATTAAAATGACTATTTTTTTCTTACCGTTTGTGAGTGGCTTGACTGGTCGTATATGGGGCGTATATGTAGACTTATGTACAGTTGTGCCTCTATTTCCGGATTCATAAACATTTTTTTTCTTTCCCGTATATAAACCCTTTTGCCTGTTTTGTTCCTGTTTTTCTGGAAAAAGTTTAAAATTGTCGTCAGTTGATCTACTAATCGGACTTGTAACTTTTGTAGTGGATTTTTTTTGACCCTTATTCAATTGATTTGTTGGAGTCACATCGGACTCTAAATGATGACCGGACCATTCTAGTTCTTCAACAAGTAGTAGACAACAATAATGATACAATTTAACTTACCATGAGATAGTATACTACTTTCCGATCCGTCAGAAAACGCAGGATTATTTTTAATTTGAGTAGTAATTGGTGATGATGATGGTATACGCCCAGGATGAAAAATTTTTGAATCACTCGAGCTACTCGTTATAGACGGTGTACGTCTATTGGAATAACTATTGTTTGGACCCGAAATATGACTGGTTACATTGCCAGCATTTATTGAAGGGGAATGATTTCTGAATGGCAAAGATTTTTGTACGGATGGTAATTCATTCATATTATGGTCTCTATCAGCGGATAAATAGCGATGGTATTCGGCATGTACCTGTTCTGGGTCTTCCAAATCTACAAAATCCATAAGTTGTGTTGTGGGCATTGGTCGACGAAAATTAATCATTGGTATCTGTCCACCATATTGACTGCTTCTTAACGGTGTTAAATTATTTTGTCCATTTGACTGGTTATATCGTTGAACAGTTTTTATCGGTATTATATCGATTACTTCAAAATATTTCTTTTCTCCAAAATCATTAGTACATCGAACAAAACGTTTTTCAATACGTTCATTCATATCTTCAATATATTGCCTACCATTTCGATTTGCAATTATACGAGTGGGTTGAAATTGATTCATCACATGTTGACCACGCCCTAGATTAATTGAAGAATGAGATAACACAACAGCATTCGAATCTCTTCTTAACATCGTATTTGATCTACGCAATATTTTATTTAAATTAGTTGAATTATGAGATGTTCCCTGCTTTTGCACGTAAGATAGATATGATTTTCGTTGTCGTGATTCGTTTGAAATCAATTGTGGATTAATACAAATAGATTGAGAATCGTTCGATTCATCTTGTATTGGATTTTGTGAACGACTTTTTATTATCTAAAAAGGAACACAATTAGTGGCGGCGCCACAGGTGGGCTGGCGTGGGCTCGGTCCACCCTAAAATATTTTGAGCC